CGCCCTTCAGCACCGGCTGAGCTTGGGCCGCCCTTCAGCACAGCTCACTGGAGTCTCAACTGTGCCAGCTCTGGAGAGCCCCGGGGCTCAGGGGCGTTCAGGACCATTCCCCATCTCCCCCACTCCTTTCCAAGCGGCTCCCATCGTTTGCTCCTACCTGTCTTGGGCACATTCGACAGCTGCTCCATCAGCTTCTTCTGCAGAAGGGCTTTGCTCTCACTATCCAGGACGGGGGAACTGGGAAGAGAGGCAGTGAGCACAGGGGCCCCAGAGCAGGCGCCCCCCGCGGCCCCGGGGGCCGGACCCCCCCGGGAGGCTGCGGCTCCTCCGAAACATCCCGCGGCTCCGGCCAGGGCCGCCCTGGGCGGGTGCCCAGGCACCTCCAGGCCCTCTGCAGAGTTCAGGCCACCCTGGGTCTGCCTGGGCCACCTCCCTGGCTCTGCTTCCGGCCCAGTGCGTCCTCATCGCCCCTTCCTTCAYGGGGGGAAACCGAGGCACGGGACTCAGGGCCCTCCCCATCCCAGAGGGGTTCAAGCACCGAGTCCTATTCGGTTCTGCAGGAATGGGGCTGCTTGTGCACCGAGGCCTAATGTCAACTTGGGCATCAGTCAGGAAGCAGCTTCCCCCAAGGACGGTCTCTGGGCACAGGAGCCAAGGCCTGTGCCRCTGGACTCTGGCGCAGCAGCTCCCCGGGGAGGAAATCAGTGTGGATGGGGAGGAGCAGAGGGCGAGGGCATCAGCCCAGGCGGGAATACCTGCAGTACTTCCGCAGCATGAACTCGGACAGGTCCTGCAGGATCTTCTCGCTGTGCAGGGACACAAACTGCTGCCGACAGATCTGACGCAGGGAGCAATGCGGGGAGCAGTGGTGAGCAGCAGCTCATGGGCGCTTGCCCTCCTTGCCCTCAACGTTGCTCTCAGTCAGGACAGGCAGAGAGAGGCAGGGAAAGCAGCGGGGAGAAGAGGGCAGGGGAAGGCGCCCAGGGCAGGACACAGGCACCAGCTCCGCTCTGTGCCACGGCACTTGGCACCCATTTGCCCACGCGGATTCTCCCCAGCGCTGCCCTGAAGGATGCCCAGGGACGAGACTGGGGCACCAGGGAGTTACTGCAGTAGCCAACAAGCACCCRACAGGCACCCAGTGGGTGAACAAACCAAGCACCGGAGCAAGGCCCGGGGCAAGCGGGGGCGGGCAAGCACCCAGAGCAGCAACATCGCTGCGYACGAGGGGCTCCCGGGGACACTTGTACCTGGTTCATGACATCCACGGTGAGCGCGTGAGTCCAGTAGCAGTCGTGCACCGAGACAAAGGTGAGACCCTGCCTGGGAGGGAGCAGAAGGGGCCGTGAGGCRGTGCTGAAAGCGTCGTCTCTCTGCCACATCCCTTGTCCCACGCAGACCCTCTTGCTGACGTATTGGCAGGGGCAATGCAAGGGGGGGACGCCCTGCTGAGGGGCTGAGGATCCTCCACGGGAGACACTAACTGCAAGGACTCCCTGTCCCTGCCCTGCTGCTCCCCTCAACCCGCCACTCGCCAGGACAACGTCCCCCAGGGCGCGGGCAGGGCCCTGCCGACGCCTGCCCATGAGACCTGAGCATCCGAGGCCAAGGAAGAGCCCAGGCGGCCCCGCTTCCTACCCGAGGCAGTGCAGAGCCGTGAGCATCATGTGCGTGGAGTCCAGCGAGTGGATGAAGTTGGGTGGAAAAGCGTTTTTCTGCTTCACTGTGTCAGGCTTCCTGCAGCACAAAGAGGGACACAGGAGGAGTTGGGGCGAGAAGCAGTGCCAGCCAAGCTCTGGGGACAGGAAGGCACTTTGAAGGCCCCAAGGCCTTGCTGAAGCAGCACGGGGCTCCTCTCCTGCAGCTGGCTCTCCTCAGCTCAGCAGCATGTCAGGAGCTTCGCCGCKCATCAGCAGGACATCTGGGGACATTTGTCTCCAAAGCAGAGTGGGGACAGAAGGGGCTCGGGGAAGCCTGCGAGTTAACACTTACTGGCTGTTGCTGGCATTCTTCACACTCAAGTTCTGCATACTGCAATTGAGCTGCRGGGAGACACAACGTGGATCAACCAGCAGCACTGCCCGGAGAGCATCAACACTGACCCTGGAGAGGATCAGGCCAACGCAYTGCCCTGCCCGAGCCCCCTGCAATGCAGGGCTCGAAGGGACCTGCCCAGGACAATCTGGCTCCCACTGGCACCTCGCCTGCCTCCCACCTGAGGACGCTGGTGCATCCRTCACCCCTTCCCGTGCTGATTCACGCCTCGCTCCCTGCGAGGGCCGAGGAAAAGGTTGGCGCAGGCGGGGGGCCCCGGCAGCGCCAAGGTGGCCGGGCGGCGCTGAGTCAGCCGGGCGGCGCGTGGGCGCCAGCCTGAATCACAGCACCCGGCGGGCAGAACGGGGGGCAGAACGGGCCGGCAGCCAGGCGAGCGCGTGGGGACGGGGACAGCAGGTCCCTCAGCGTCCCACCCGTGTCTGCGCGGAGCCGCGAGGCTGCAGGGGCAGCCCCCTGCCCCGTCGGGCGGCCGCCTTGCGGCCCCGCTGCGCGCTCGGCTCCGCGGCACGGCCGAGGCAGACGGGCAGCCCGGCCCTGMAAGCAGACACTCACCACCGTGGACTTGGCTCGGTAGTAGGGCTGCACGATGGGCAGACCCAGCGGCGTGACCCACTCCACGGTCTGTCCCGACTTGGCGATGAGCTTGGCGCTCTCCGTCAGCCAGTGCTTGGGCAGCGGGAAGGGGAGGCAGCGAGGGAGGAGAGGAAAGGGGCTCTCGTCAGTGCGGGCAGCCGGGCACATCCCACCCCTCCCAGCACAGCGCGTGTGGCGCCCGCGTCCTGCACACASAGGAGCTGGGCCCTGCGCTGGGCACAACCCCACGGGCTGCGGGCTGGGCTAGGAGGCAGCAGAGCCATCCCCCTGCATCCTGCTTCCCTGTCTGCGGAGGGGAGCGAGGGAGAAAAGGGGCAGCAGGCTCCTCACCTGGATGTCTCGAGTTGCAGAGAACATCTCTTTGATGACATTGAAAACCTGCTTCACGAGGTAGTGAGACGCTTCCCACAAGTACTCCTGCACAGGCGAGAGGCAGCGTGAGAAGGCAGCAAACTGGCTGCAACACAAAGGGCAAAGCGGCGGGAGCCGGGGGAAGCCGAGAGCTCCTCGCTTCACACCCCGACCATGCAAGGAGCYTCCCCACAGCCTGAGCTAGTGTGCAGAGGGCTGCGGGTGCCTCCCAACAGGACAACAGGGATATTTCACTCGGCTCCTTGTCCAGTGGCAGGCGCTTCTCTGTGCAATGTCCCTGGCTGACCAGGAGGCTCTCGCTGCCTCGTCCGCCCCCGGGAACAYAGCAGAGAGACAGAAACGCCCCCAGCGCCCGCCTGCCACAGCGAATCATCCGCTCGGCAAGGACTGTTCCGCAGCGGGGTCACAGTGCACGGAGCGCACGAGGAGGGCCGAGGCTCCACGGGGTCTGCTAGGGACAAGCGCCTGCCCAAGGCGGGCACTTACACAGAAAGAGCAGTTCCCAACCCTGTTCTCCACCAAAACGCCCTCCGAGGCTGCCGTACCTGCCACGTGGGCACGGCAGGGCTGYGGAGGGGCCCCACCTGAAGACACCCCGTGTTTCTCCCCCCGACACGCATGGGCTGCCGCTCTCCCCGCAGGGCCCTCCTCACTGCACACCCAGCGCAGGGGTCTCAGTCCTGCTTACCCCTCCGCTATCCGCGCTGGGGAGCGCAGGGAGAGCGCGAGCAGGAGGGAAACCCGCGGGAAGGGCAGCGCGGGTGTCGCTCCTGGCAGGGGCTGAGCTGGGCGAAACGCTGCGGGGGTCCCGGTGCCCGCGGCACAGGCCGGGCTGTCCGAGTTACCTCCGGGAAGTCGTCGATCTCCTTGAGCCGCTTCTGCATCTGGAGGCGGCCGCCGAAGCGCGTGACGCCGTACACCACGGTCATCACCGTCTGCTTCACCACCTTGCGGCTGATGAAGCCCTGCAGCACCTGGGCGATCCTCACGCCCTGCTGGGCGTCCTTCTTGCGGAACTCCTCCACCTGAGGAGAGCGCTCGCGAGGCCGCTGGCCCGGGCTGCGTGGCCGGCCCCACGCAGACCYTGCCACCCATCTCTCCTCCCACCTGGAGACCCGCGGGTGCTCCGCTCTCCGCAAGACGCGGTGCTCGGCTYGCACAGATAACTGTGCAGGGTGAGCAGCTCGCCGAGAAACCTGCAGCCTTGGCWCTGCGCCAAGGGCTCAATCCCTTCTCCTTCTCCCCACACTGCTCGTATGCAGGAAACCCCATCCCCTGCGGACCAGCCAGGTGCTACCTAGCGACAAGGACCATTCTCTGCTCTTCTCTTTACTGTCCTTCTCCTGGATTTAATCCAGAAGAGAGGGGTGCAGAAACCCCTGTGGCTCACAGCTACCTCCAAGCCAGGACAGGTCTAAGAGAGCCCTCGCTGAGACCCCACTGTGCCTCACCTGCTGGGCCACCGCACTGTAGACATCCTGGGGGACACTGCAAGGCATCAGGTTGACAGAGATGGCACCAATGAGGTCCCGGCCAAGAGCTGCATAGTGCTGCAGACCGTTGCAGGAGCCGTCCTGCGAGCGGGGAGAGGGAAAGGAGGGAGATGTTAATGCACCATGGAGCCCACTCACGTGTCCTCGAGGAGCGGCGCAAAAGCGGCAGGGTCAGGATTGTTGTTCTTCCCTTTCCCTGGGGACAGGCCGTGGTTGCTCTCCCAGCAGTGGCCAGGCCCACAGCACTTTCGGGTTCCCTTCTAGCCAATTTACCTCTCTGGGGATCTCATCACTAAACCCACTGCGATCTCTGAGGTTTAAAAGACAAACAAACCAGCCCTGAAATCGCACTGCCTCCTCCCTGCGCCAYGAGTTTCAGGGACATTAAAGCTCCGTGGAAATGCCAAAACTAGAAAATCTGGAAAATGACAAATTCGTCTGAGATGCTAAGAGAAGCTCCAGAGCTTGCACTCAAAATAGATCTTGGAAAACCCAGGAGGAGGATCAGAGACAGGAAGAGACAGGAAGAAGCCAAAGATCACTGAGCAACCCCACAGCTGACTGCGAGGCTTGAGCTGCGCCGCTGCTGCTCCACAGCCGACGGAAGCATTTTTGTATAATGGAAAAGCCACCAGCTCCCAGCCCGATGTCTCTGCAGGCTGCAGCTACAGACACGCACACTGATGTGTCACAGCAGCCGGCCTGGCCGCCCTCCCGGGACCAAGATGGGCGCGGATGAGGCAGGCAGGCCYGGCGCACCGCGCGAGAAGGGCCGGCTGCTCCCTGCAGAGCAGCAGCAGCAGCGACGCGTCGCTCAGAACAACCTTCRGCCGCCTCCGGCTGCGCCGCGCTCCTCCTGCGCTGGGGTTTCCGCGTTCAAAGGCGGCGTGAAGGATGAGCCCTGCTTTCCTCGACTCTCCCCTGCACCCCTGCAGTGCAGCGAGCTGCAGAACGCCGAGCACGCCGGCTCCGGCAGCCCCAGCGCTGCAGAGCTGCCGCTATGAACCGAGCCCTGATGACTCAGGTGCAGAGCGAGTCCTGCGCCCTCCAGAGAAGGTCCTTGCTCGGGTTTTATTAATTGCACTCTCTGCACGCCCCCAAATGCTCTCCTGATCTTTTGCTGTTGTCACAATGCCATCAGAGCTCTTCGGTTTAGATGGTCTCATACATATTTCAGACCACTGCTACTGGCACCTATCCCCTACACGCACTTCATTAGGGCCATCTGATCTTCTAATGAGATAAATGAGCAAATCACTCTCACCAGGAAAACAATTAATCACTGTCTCCTGTGAAGAAAGGGGATTTATCAGTGCAGATAAACGGCTGGCTGGACAGCAACCGCGCAGGGAGCTGCAGATCTGCTGGGACGTGGCAAGGAGAAGGTGCTAAGACTTGGCTCACAGGAGCCGTGTCACCAAACGCAGGGGTAGAGCTGTCACCAAACGTGGGGGCACAGCTGATCTCTGCCCCCTGCCCTTCTCTACAGGCCCAGTACTGCTCCCTTTGCTGTGCAGGGTTCCAGCCTCAGAAGAGGAAGGCAGCGAAGATCTACCTCATTAACCCCATGGTTAATGGCACCGCGGCAGGGCGGGCTGTCCCGTGCATCCGAGCGGCTCGGGAAGACCGGCACCGGCTCCACTCCGGGCAAACGTGGGCAAAGCAGCATGGAACAGCTCTGTTCTCAAAGCAAGATGCCCGCAGGCTGCGCTGCCATCCCGAGAAAGGCTGGCTGTGCCACACAGCAAACACAGCACGTGAGACCTAAACACGTCCTCATGTTTCTGCTAGGACGAAACCTGATGTTTTCCCTGACGTTTTTGACGGACAATATCACTGGCCTGCTATTTTTGCGCCRCGCTCTCCCCTCCCTGCAGTGAGGCCAGTCACATCCAACACGCTCCCACCTGGTGAACAGGGAAGTGCGAGACATAGGCTGCGGGATCCGGGCACCTCGAGGCCTTGGCGATTTCCATGCAGCATGCCAAGGCTTGCCAGGGCTCATCCACCTTCATCCACCACTTCCTGCCCTAGGAACAACAAAGTTGGAGAAGGTGCCCGTGCTCCTCATTGTCCCACAGCAGAAGTGGGACAAGTCAAAGCTCTGGGCTCCAGAGATGCTGGCAAAGCACCTCCTCTCACTTGCCACAGTGTCCCTAGCATTTAACAGCATGGCTCCACACAGAAATGTGCTATTTAGGAAACTCCACAATGACTTGATTCACTTTTTCTGTCAAAATCCTATATTTCTAAATGGCTTTAGTTCAAAATTGATCTCATTTCCCTTTTTTTACTCCCTTTTTTATTTTACTTTCTAGAAGTTATGCTAAAGAAGAGGTTTAAGTCTCCCCTGAAATTAAAGAAGACATAAACACACTCTTCCCTTAGAGTACTTGGAACAATTCTCATGTGGATTCAAACACGGATAACTTGCACGCTTTTCAGTTTGGGCACTGCAGGAGAACCCCTGCAGCTGGCCTAGGACTAGCTGCAGGCTCCCCAGGCCCAATTCCCTGTGGTTTAGGGTCTGACCACAACACCTCGAGAGCAAACCCAGCATATTCCCCACACACCGTGAGCGGGTGGTCAGCCGAGTCCAGGATGTCCTCCATGATTTCATTGGCATATTCCAGCCGCTCCTGCAAGGCATTCTTCTTCTTGAGCCCCGTGAGGTTAATGAGGTGGATCTTCAGCCAGTCAAGGCCTTTGGGCCCTAGTGGYCTTCCCTCCGCGAAGAGCAGGATGGCGCGGGTGACATCGTTACCCAGGTGGTTGAAATAAGGCGGGCAAGGGTAAGTCCTGCCTCGGAAGTCCATGTTGTGGGGGAACCAGAACACCTTGTCCCTGACGTAGTTGGCAATGGAAAGCTTGTAGAGCGCATCCATGCGCAAGCTGTGCATTTCAGCTGCCTTCTTCTTGCACAGCATCAGCTCATGCTTCTGGGCCTTGTTCAACAGAGAGGAATTGCTGGGAGCAGGAGGAGGCTTGGGAGCCTCAGAGATGGGTGGTGGGATATCCAGCTTCTCGTCGCCTTTGTCATTAAAGATGGAGATGATGATGTCCAGCACTGGCTGGTTAATCTTCCAAGCGCAGTTCCCCAGCTGGTTCAAGGCATCCAGCACCGGGTGGAGGTTCACCTGAGGACACTGGTCCAGGAGGACCTGGTGCTGGATGGCCCCATCTAGGTAGCGCATCAGCTTGGTGTCATTCAAGATATAGGCACCAAAGTGRGGCGAAGTCCAGGGTATTGGGGGGCACAGCATGGGTATGACATTGGAGTTGAAGGTCAGGGTGGTCTCGGCAGCATCTGACATAAGCTGGGACAAGACTGGGTGGGGCTTTACCAGCCCAACCTGGAGGGGGAGAAGTACAGAGTGGAAAATCAACAGGAGAGCAGAAGGAGCTGGGGGTGGAGTTCRGTAGAGCACGTGGTTAATCACCGATTACATAACAATCATGTTAAGTAATGACACTGCACAGAAGCAGCTGCTCCTGGCTCACCTGCCAGCTGTTGCGGAAGGAGTAGATGTGGTAGAGGACAGGGATAAGCTTGGACTCCAAGCGGGGATTGAGGATGTTCCTGGGCACCTTGACAGACTGCACAAGGAGCTCCAGCAGGTGCATGCCCAGACGCATGTGGAGAATGTAGGGCCAGTTGCAGTCCTTCAAGCTGAGCGAAGGTCCAAAGCCGGTTTCTGTCACCAGCTTCTCCCAGTATTCCCGTGGCAAGTAGTTGTCAGGCTGGGAGGTGAGAAAACAGGGTCAGTCAGAGGGGACAATGAGCTGAATGGGGCTTTACCGGTTCTTAAAACCTCTGCAGCAACAGGGTCCCAGATTCTACCCCTTGTGCTTGCGAGGAGGAGGATGGGTGCACTCTGCCTAGCCCCACTAACAGCCCCACTCTGGCTGCCACTGGCCCCAGTGCCACCTCTCTCTCCTGGGCTACCTACCTGGCTGTCCTTGGCCAGCAGGTGGATGTAGCCCTCATAGACCTTCTGGACCTTCTCCAACTGGCGGCTGCGCATCTTCCTGTGCGTAATGTACCTGTTGTAGATTTTTGAGCCCAGCTCTCTGGCCAAGAAAGCCAGGGACATTCCTTGCGGAGAGAGGGTGTTGATGACCTGAAAAAGGGGAAAGCAAAGAGGAACTTAAGKAGAGGCAGAGGGAAAGGCAGAAAAACAGAGCAGAAAAGCAAAGTAGGAGTTAAAGTCTCCATGTGGGGAGCAGTGAAAGGTGCYGGTTCTCATGATGCTGGGCAGATGAGGAGTGAAACAAGCCCAGGACAGAGCAGGGGCTTCTCTGGCTAGAGAAGAGGAAGCAGAGTGGGCTTGGACCCAACAACCTGGGCAAATTTCAAGGTTCGTATTTTGATTCTGCTGGTTCAAATGGCACACTGGTGCTTCGTGGTACTCTTACGGTGGTTTGGGAAGCCTGCTTTKGGGCAGGGCAGGGTCCTACCTCCATCATGATGCTCACATACTCCTCGTCAGGCAGCAGGCACAGGTAGGGGTAGAGCATTTTGGACCCTGACATGCTGGCCTTGGACAGGCTGTGCTTCGACTTCTGCAGGGCCTGGAGGATGGAGTCGTGCCACTGGGAGCGAAGGYTGGCCAACAGCTCACGCTACACAGGAAAGAGAAGCAAAGCAGCACTGAGGTGGCAGGAGCAGGTCCTTGGGGATCTGCCCCCCTCTTCAGGCCAGTGACCTCTGCACRTGTCCCAAAGGTCCTACCAGGACCAAACCTCGAGCTCCCTCCCTCCCTCCAGACATGCTGCACCGGGCTCCCCGAGCTTTACTGCTTTCGTGGCTTGGGGGGTCATAGGTTTGGTGGCTTCCACRGATTTGACCGTTATGGTGTTGCTCATCTCCATCTCCAGCTGCTGCTCGAAGCGCTTCTGCAGCTCTTGCACAGAGAAATCCAGCTTGGGGTACGACATGTTCCTCTTCTGCAACAAGAGGGAGGGAGTAATGATCAGAGGGAAACGGGCTCGCTTTCCCAGCCTCCCTGCAAGAAGCGCAGTGCATGAGCCCTGCTGAAGGCACCTTTGAGCTCAGAGGTCTGAGGACTCCGGCTGGTGAGTCCCGGGGCGTCTGGGGCAGAAGACCTCTCTAGACATTGCCTTGTTCCTGTGCCACTGTCAAGCACCCCCCCAGTGCATGCAGTTCGTCTCCAGGACCTCCTGCCAGCCCACGGCTCATCTCCTGCCTTGTAACGGTCTYGCTAAGACCACTTACTTGCTAGAGACAAGGAGCTGCCCGGTGGGTGACGGCACAGGCTGCTGAGCAGAGATCACATCGGGACCAGAACGCATCCTGAGGCCAACTGTGGACACCATTTGCCCCGCTCCAATCCCCACTGCTCTGCACAGACACATCCCTGAGCTCTGCGGCTTACTTTGGAGTAGAAGTCGTGGAGCAGTGAAGACCTGCAGGTCTCGGGCTTGGGCGGAGGGGGAAGCTCATAATCGGGCTGCATCTTCCTGATGGCGCTCAGAACCGCCTCCTTCTCGTCTTCTTCAAACAGGCACTTTTGGAAGAGCTCATCCACACGGAAACCGTCTTTCTTCAGCCGCTGCACACAACTGAGGAGTGGCAGATAGGATGGGACTGAATCTGTCGCACGGAGGTGGGGGGTTGGACAGAAATCGCATAAATGAGGCAGGGAATAAAGTGTTTAAGCACAGATCTAGCATGGAGAAGAGAAGACAGGTTGGGGATGCCTCCTTCTGAGGATCTGAGAGCCTTGACTTCTCTTTCCTGACTTTCCTCCTAAGCAGTGTCAACTGGACAGATGTGAGAAGCACCACACGGCTCAGAGCAACCCACCAGAGTCCTGGCAGCCACAAAAGGAAAATCTCTCCCAAGGCAAGACTTGGGAACCGACACCCCCCAGGAAAACGCTCCGAGCTCAGCAGAGGAAATCAATACGTGGCTCCAGCCCTGAGCAGCAGCCAGGACAGCTGCCAGTCTCCCCMGAGCAGGTGACCCAGCAGCTTTGCCCTGCACCACCCTCCACGCCAAGGGCAGCTGCAGGCGAACACAGCAATTCACACKCTCTTGGAAAGGTTTCAGGAGCCCCTGGGACCAGGACGTGCCCCTCGCTTCTCTCCTGGGAGGCTTCCTCCCTTCTGCACGCTCCTAAGGATGTGTCCCACACAGCAAGTGCCACGAGCCTCGCAGGAACACGTGCCTGACCCAGCTGACGCGTGCTGAGCCGCGGAGAGAGAAAAAGCTCTGGAGCAATGGGCACAAACAGAGACGCAGCAGCAGGATGGAGCCCGAGTGCCCCATGATGTGGCTGCTGGAGGGCCTGGCGGCAGGAYGCTGTCCCGCGGGAGCACGGGGACTCTCCCTGTCTCCTGCGCAGGGCGAGAGGCCGGGAGATGCTGTGCRGGTTGCAGGAGCTGCAGGGGTGGGAGCGCTGCATCCCCAAGCACAGCCAGTCCTTGGGACAAGGTCGCCCGCCTCAGGTTACGGCATCGATCCCATTCTCCTCCCCGTGCAGGCAGCTCCTCTGCGGAGCAGGCGGCTTTCACCTTCACACGCTGCCAGAGAGCGGGCGAGAAGACAAAAGCTCCTTCGTGCCCAGACTCCTCCTCTGTCCCTGCAGCCTGAGCGGCCCGACGGGAACCTCGGGGGCTGCAGACACCTCRGTCAAGGGGCAGAGAGCTGCAGCTTGTTCATGGAGCCTGTTGGCCAGGGGCTCTGCGCAGCACGGGGGAGACCACAAGCACCCGTCAGGCCTGGCTGAAACATCAGCTACTGCTGCAGAACTGCCCCAGCAGCAACCACGCACAGCAGCAGCAACCACGCACAGCAGCAGC